TATGCTGCGATAATGTTGGCAATCAGGGCTCCCATTGTCAAGTTTTGATGAGTGAGATTTCCTGCTTGAAAAATTTCCAGCAAAAGTGAAATGCTCTCGACTAATTTGTTATTTGATAGAAATGGGTTTAGGAATTCTTCACATTCGCGATTTGGTATAGAGATGTCCAGTATTTCTCCGCTATAGAAAAAACTGCAACATGGATCTGATTATCTTTAGAATCCATTCTTTTTCCAGTTCTTGCTCTTCGTCATTTTGAAATGAAGTAAAAACTTATTAAACTTATCGTCCTAGTTCACAGAGAAAACATATAAGAAGGATATTCGAAGTATTTAACCTACTATGGACTTTTACTAGGAATATAGCCCCATTTGCAAGCTTCTGGGTGAGATTTATTTACCCATGTGTTGAACACGAATCATTGATCATTTTGACACTGCACTTTTGGTTTCCATCATGTTGTGGCGTAATATTTTGCATTTTGGCCCTTGAAACCTAGACACTAAAGACCATCATAATAACATTTCGTGTTATGTGGTCGGAATTCAGCAAAAGATGTAGGAAGTTTAAGCTGACTATTTGACCACTGAATGGTTGTTTTTTCGACACATATGAAACTATCCTGACTATACTTTATATGCTCTAGGGCGTGTATGATGATGTGTGCCTGCAAGTCACGGAAAGAGATCACAGCGTACATTAAACAAACCCAGAAGATATGTAAGATGGACTCGAATTCGTTTTTGACAGTAAACTATAACAACGTACAAAGACGAAATTATTAAATAAAGATAACATGATAATTGAAACTAGATATGAAAGAGTGAGTACTTAAATATCTGACATGACAATACATCGTTTTTGCACTCTTTGAGTCTGACGTGACTTTCCTACTACCACAAAAGCACAACAAAATATATGACATTTACAAGCACTGTGATGAATTTCTAGTTATCTCCATCAACTACACTCTTTCTAGTTGCTTCAAACGCATTATACACATCCGTTTTCTTGCAAAAACAGGACTTGTGGATAAATTGCTCGATCAAAGAGAAGTTGGATCCCGTGACAGTAAAAGGTAACGTTGTGATACATGCAACATGGATCACCCAACTCAAATACTAAAACTGAATCTTCAGCCAACTAATCACGATCACACATCTACCCATGTCGTCAAACTCCTGAGAAGACTTGCAAGCAAAATAAAATTACGAGGAAGTGGAATCTTAAACTGTTAATCGTACTATTACTGTCGAACAGCAACACAACAACAACAATTATATATCACACTCGTCGCTCGTCAAAGCCAGAAACTCAGAGGTCGAATGTAACTTGTATAGTTACTAGGTTCACTCGAGGTTTTCGTCTGAAGCTACCAAGTATATCTTATGTCAAAAACGGACTTGAAAGTCTTGTTTATTTGAAACGGAATATTTGGATGATCTATGTGTAAATATATACATGTCAAGAAGTACCATAGAAATAGTAATTCATCTACTGAGACAGTAAAATGCACCTGAATTATTTTCGGAGTTCACATTATCCAGCATATTTGACGAATTGGAAGCCAAATAGTGTGGCCAAATAGTACAAATCCAAAAAGACTCCGTATAAACACATAGGACTCGCCGTATGAACTATTAGAAAAGAGCTTAAAACTTCAGAAGCCTTTTGGTCAGAATTCTCTGTCATTTTCTGTTTTATCGTTTTCACTGTTTGGTGATGGAACGCGAGAATCGGAAATTTGGCAGGCAGTGGTTAGGAGAAAATATATGAGGGGATAATACAATTTGAAATAGGTTAAAAGTTTTAGTAGAGAAGCCAGATTAGGAGTTAGATTCCAGTAACCATTCAGTCCATGTTTACAGTACATGGTTCGCCGTATAAAATCAATGTCACGGAAGTCCTACTCACTGCCTTTAAATGGCGGGGGTATTGTTTACGAAATTGGTAGGAAGAAATGCGGACCTCCGGCACTTTACCCGGATTGACGGATATGGAGGATCTAACTAGAAGAGTTTTAAAATCCTAATTCAAAACTAATTACGTACATGGGATCCAGGATTCTGAAAGCATAAATGACGAATGAACCTGTTGTTGGTCATCGGCTTCCGTAGGAATGAATCTTTTGATGTTGCTCCACTGACTTGCGAATTAAAACTGCAGGTCAAAGGGTTTTGGTGTGGCCTCCAAAGAAAATCGCCTGCTTCGGTCTGGTCACCCGGGCGGTATCCCAGCCTACACACAAATCAAATGATAATTACTACTGGAAAAGTTACTCGGTAATAAACTCTCATTCAGACAAGTCATAATCATAACAATTTGATAATATTTATTTTTATTTCACCTGTCTACTCCCTTTTTATTTTCATTCGGTGTATTTTACTCTATTTTTCAACGTATACAGCAGCTCATCCAAGTTGGAAACCCTGTCTTATCTAAACGGTCTCGAGTCACTGACTGGTCGAAAGTTGAATGCTAACACCGACTAAGATTACTGAACCAGCCCTTCCGAAACCACGTGTGTCATTCAAACTATCCTCCTCCACCCATCGGACAACAGATAGGACTGTCTTTCTCTTTAGAAACCGTCAGTGTTAGTGTCTGTTATCTATCCGACACCATTATCCAGGACTCTAATGAAGTACTACAGACTAGCCCTCCATCTGCCACTCCTGAAAGTTTGTTTCATGTGCGTTGATTCGGCAACCCTGTGACATCTTCGCCTGGTTTTGTTGACGTTAGTGTCTAATTAGAGCTGAGGCAGCACTGGTCGATTGGATCCCTATCAATAGTCAGTTATGTGCTGTTAGACAAGAAAGCTCCATCAGAGTGCCGAGAAATCAATGTGAAAATCGTTGTCCTAGGTCGTCTTCGCCTACTCTCCAATAGACTGCCTCTCGACGATGAGTTTTTCCACCAGTTAACTGTTCTTCTACAGAAAATGGGTTCGACAAACATTGTACACAGGTCGGACGCCTCGGCACATGAGAGAGTCTTTCAAGTGGCCGATGGGGAGTTGTTGGTGGCACGTCATATAACGAAGTCCGTCTACTGCGACCATGTGCAGACCACAACCTGTTTCTGGCTGGCACCAATCACCGTCACAGTCATTACCAACTTGCTTCCTGGAGTCCCACATCTGCATCTCAGGTCTGGACTCTGATTGATCACATCTCGTTCAGCTACTGTTTGCGTGGTTTGGGTTAGTAACACCTTACGTTCCAGTGGCCAATAAATTCATCGTTCTAAACGGATCGATGTCAATAAATTTGCTGCAACTAAGTCCAAGGCTATCTACCTTCCCACCGAAAAGTATAATAAAGTTGATATCCACTGCAAATACCATGTGGGTAATGCAAAGGTCCGACACTGGGGATGAAACTGCTACTAAATCTTGTTGGTGAACCACAATAGCTAATCCTAACTGCAGTTGATCTGTTATTAGTGACGATCATGAATATCAATTAATAAAACAATACGACAACACATGTGAGCATTATTCAGCAGATTAATAACCGTTAAACATAAGTAAAAATCAATCGATAGAGTTATATTTAATACGAGAATTCATAACAAGTTATGTATATTTAATCATTCTCATCACTTAGATTGGTGTCCATTGTGAAAGTAACTGCTTGAGTCTAAGGACTACGGAAGAATACATCTGGGCTGGGAAGATAATAATATGTCAAAATATTCGACATTTAACACGAAAAAAGTGCCAATAATGGAGGACGCGAGAACAATCAATTAATCGAATACGATGTCATAGCTCGGCCTTGCAGGCGTGGTCATCCTTGTGAAACCTGTCCCTATTATTCGTATCAAATATATTGTCCTATCTCCAACGTAACTGTGTTCATATCATGAAAATTCTACAAGTTTAGGATTTGGTCTATTGTTATAATAGTACTAAAAGCGAAGTAGACCATAATTCCACAACCATACCAGAATGTCCGAGCGGTATCAGACCTATCACATTTTCCCGTTTTCACCATTTCTGATAAGAAGTGTGCATACACATACGCTCATATAAAAAATAGTCAAGGTCAATAAGCGAATAATTAACAAGATCAAAATATGACTCAAAACGTTATAGGTGAATTGGCTTGTCCAGAAACTAGAATAAGCTATGTAGGTGTAATATAGTACACGACGTTACACTACTCCCCACAAGTTATACAACGCAGGTTTCTTTCGACTCCATGTTCACACACATCACCGATTAGGTAAATTATTTATTCAGTTTTGAAAAGGCCATCTTTGCTATTTCCACATTGCAAGAAACCAACCTCCTGTCTGGTGATGTGATGGTTCCTACCATGCAGAGACCCTACTGAACTACTAAATTGACCAGAAGTGGTGTAGTGGAACGGCTAGACCACTACCTAAATGATTTCGAATGGTTGTGGATGGAATGGAACAGGCTTCCGTTAAACAGGCTGTGATGTTTATATGAACCAACCATTCCTTTGTACTTGAAGACTGCTTGAATTCGAATCCCAAATACAATACATTGGTTCGTGTTCATTTAGTAATCCATAATCAACTTGCTTTATTTCTGATATTCCTGGTTAATACTATAATTTAAATACTCCTAATTATCACACGGACTTCTGTGTCTAGTAGCAGCGGATCACCGATTGAACACTACCAAATACCAGGAACCGTACTAAAACAACAAAGTTCGAGCACAGAAAAATCTGCGAGACTATAATTTTCAGAAAACTAGTCACGTATAAGACAACAGGTCTCGGATTTTGGAGCGAAGTTCACTCGTCTATCAAGCTAGATAGAATTTCGGCATTATAGCTGATGCCGGTTCGTGATGAAAACCCTTAGTCTAATTTCTAACCTCAATCATCACTTGTAAATCATAATTCTAATTCCTCACGCAGTTTTATAACTCTCTTTTGACGCCTTAAAAAGCGTCCATAAATTATAGTACCACCGAGAAGTCAACTGGTGTGCACAAGATCGTGACAAATAATCTGGATATTGGAAATTGGACTGCGCGTTAACATATTCAACCTTAGAAACAAAACTAGCCCTACACGCCCACAGCGTCACTGGTTATAAATAGCGAGCTGTAATTGTGTCGTTAATTATCTAACCTAGCCGAGTTTAGTCGGAATGTCTAAAGTTAAGGCAAGTTACATCTTTGAGATACTATGCTATTTGTTACATAGCCTTTTTGCACTTGACCCTGTATGAAATGTAGTGCTTACAATTTAGGTCAAAATTGGTGTTAGTTTTAAAGAATATTCGTCATTTATGTAAATGTCATTCAGGAAGTGACTTTTGCAAAGGTCGGTTGTTTTTTGTTAACACTAAATTTTTGCCACGTAAATGCACTATTCTTGTTAAAAATATCAAATCTAGCTTTAACTCAAATTAAAAGTCACTATATACATTTCCAAGCTACGTATTTGCTACACTTTAGCTATCTTTAGATATAATTAGACTTTCATTAAAATCCGAGTGTATATATTCCCACTAGACACGTATTCAGCCTAAAACGTCTCAAAATCAAATGAAAATCACACTTATTTCAAGCAAAGGGACGTACTAAGAGTTATATAACAAAGTCAGTCCTTCTTTAACTTGCACGATAGATCTAGACTCTGTCTGACTCTGTATATTCCTAAAATAACAGCGCACCTATATTTCACTTATGACGATTTAGTTTTGTTTAATATTGCGTACGCTCCCGTCAGTAGTCACGAGCAGCAAATATTTTGATATATACTCAAGTGTATGATTTTTAATCACATCCTGTTCTAAATCAATGATTTGAAGATGCTTCTTATAATGATCTGAAAATTAGAAGTCAAATTATCTGAGCTTATGTACTTGCTCCTTGTACCGAACCCCTTACCGTTGGCAAACAACACTTGATACTATCAGAAGGGAATTGAACTTCTGCGACACTGTAAATTGAATAGCTTAATCTCGACCTCCTAAAGCCTTCTGCTAATAAAAAATAAAGATTACACTCTGATATGCTTGTAGATTTAAGAGGGTATGCATTTAACTATTAATTGGTTCAGAACCCATTGTTTCTACCCCGGTTTGTTTTTTAAAGAAGCATGATTTTATTAATTGTTTGTTTTACTTATTCCATCGTATTGGCTTACTTAATAAAAACTAATACAAAACTAGCAATTAAGACCTAACGTCACCGTGGTTCAATACAGACTCAAAAAAGTGAAATTAGTGTCGCTTCTACGGAGTGTAAAGTTTTGGGGATCTCTAATCCCACTATGTTATGTATAATATATTAGAATAACATGTGGATTTTAAGCGGTGACATATGAGCTTGACAATCCAACTTTCGTCCATTAAGTCCTAGGTGTAAAGCTTACAGTTGTTTAGTCTAAATTAAATGTCCCACCATAGGACGAACCGACCGTTCAGTGCTTCCAGGTTTCCCATAGTGGTATAGCTTCAATTGATTCATGATCTTTTTTAAAATTAAATGTATTGAATCGAGCTTTAAACACTTCAAGTCTACCCAAAGTATAATTATTTGTACTTTTTACATATTAGGTTGGAATTATTGGGGGTTCTGGATTCGATGACCCTAATCTATTCAAAAAAGTAGGAGTGCGACAAGTAACTACTCCGTTTGGAAAGCCGTCAGACACTCTTGTCGAAGGTTTTGTTGGAGATGTTGCATGTGTTGTACTTCCCAGGTAACCACTGTTAGCAAAAATAACCTATTCGTTACGAAATTATTCATTTGGCTGGAATAAGTAGTTGTATTGAATTTATTGTATGGTAGTAATTTCCCAAATCTGTCCAAAACCTACTCTAGGAGCTAAGAATGATCATTTCGTACAAACTTCAAAATTGCCATAACGACCAATCAGTCACCCATCTAGTTCGTTTAACTTTGCTTATCAATCTAGTTGTAGGATAAATTTGGCCATTTCTTTTATTCGTTTACATATTCTGCTATTTTCCAACCCATATATTCATTTATGTAGACTTGCTGTCAAATATGCTTGTTTGCGCTGTAAATTGAAATATCAACCACATACCGGAACAATCTGGTTGGAAGAACGGGGTTTAAATACCGTTTGAATATTTATTCACATTACTTATTTATCTACCACACTGAAGATACAATGGGGAGTCAGTAAGGACTCCCCAAAACTGAAATAAAAACATTATGAGAAAGCGGAAGGTTGTGGGATTAATGTAATAACAAATGTAAAAACATCAAGGGTTAAAATTTAACACTGCTCTCAAAGTCGTACAACTTTTGGAGGGCATAAAACAAACTATTGATTACCTGTTTTTTTGCTGTCAATTCTAGTGGCAGCTGAACAGCACTTAACGTGAAAGCTGTTGAGTTATCATGTCCAAAGACGTATTAAAGTCATAGGAGGCAATATTTAAAAGGCCCATCACATATTGACTGACGATTTTGATGTTATTCTTAAACAGGTTACTGTACTTCTGAATGACATATATGGTACTACTGTCGACGGCGAACAATCGTTTACGAATAACAATGGTCATTACAAAACTTATTCAGGCATCTTTAGCTCAAAAATGCGAGGTTTAACAGAAATAGAGCAAGACCAATCACATTACAACGTTTAATATCAGCTACTCGACAACGTGGTTAGTCTCTTGTTGGCATCAAAGAGAGCCCAAATGGCTTTGAATCATTTTGGATTAATTTTGATCTGGTTATTTACTCTCTGAAGAAGTGGCTTACACTGAGTCACGAAACGTCAGGAAACCTAGTTTTCTGCTCATTGGGATATTACAATTATATTATTTTATTTATATCATTTTGGTTTATTTATTTTTCATTTATTTAAACATAAATATTGGTACAAAGGGGCACCAGATATATATGCGCCACACAAATCTCATTTGATTTGTGTGAGGGCTGTGATTACTGCCCAGGTGCCCAAACTGAAGCAGGTGCTTTTCTTAGGGGGCCACACCCGAAGCCTCTGACCTAAAAGTCTGGTCCACATAGCAGTGGAGCATCGTAAGGAGATACAGTCCCATGGTAGCCGGTGACCAACGATTGATTCGCACGCCATTTGTTCCCTCAGGATACTGGAGCCCATATGCACCATTGGTTTGGAATCAGGGTTTTCCAACATTGATAGTGTTAAGTAAAAGATCACATATAACCATGTAGTAGGAGCTAGCTTATTGCGAATAAAGCAGCTTATATTTTCATCACAGTAAAATGGTAGCATTATGAATCTACATAAATCTGTAAAACTGTTAGGGTGCAACGTATTTATTATTTTATTTTTCTAGTGACTGAAACGCACGTATATTAAATTGCAGACGTCTTAACTCTGCAGACTACAACGATTTAAATCTTTTGAACATATTGATGTTTTAAAGGCACTCAAAACGAAGATTTTCGTGATTTTAATTAACTTCCCATTTGAAAGCTATTAACTGTTGTGCTGAATCTGGTATTGATCCCTATTGACTAGTTAAATGATTTCTTACAGTTTCAGGGTGGTAATTTAGGAGTATGTATAGGAGAGATGTTTAACATAGCTTTACCTCAAGACAGACTCAGTCCCATTACTTTATTGTAAAACCTATTTTATAATTTATTGTGACCATTTGCAAATGGTCATAAATGCTTATTGTTTGGCTAAAAGCGGTCATTATGTATGAAAACATTTCGGCTTAAATTTACTTGCCTTTCAAATGACTTGTAGTACTTAGAATCTGGGTGCTATTTTGCATGAGGAAGACTAAGAGTTTTACAGTTTAGAGATATTGGTCCGCGTTATGAATTATTTATTCATATTTTATTTTGCAGACATGGTAAAGGACACTTAATTCCACCCAGCGAAGTCAACTATCGCGCCAACGTTTGGGCCTTGAAAGATCTCGGGTGTACTCATATATTAGCTACCAACGCTTGTGGTAGTCTGCAGGAGGACTTGGTACCTGGAGATTTCGTTGTTCTTAATCAGTTTATGGATAAAACTTGGGGCCGTGAAAATACGTTTTATGGAAGCAAACCTGATTCATTGAAAGGAGTCTTACATATGCCGATGGCAGAACCATTTTGTGAAAGAACACGTCAGGTGAGATATTAAGTTAGTGTTCTATTGCCTGACTTGATAATTAGGGAAGTATACAAAGCACTTTTACTTAAGAACTAACTTTATTTACTTAAAGGCGTTCGGTGTATAATTATCATGACATTTACTGATACTTTAACACTAAACTTTACAACTGTTCAACCTAGTTTGGTTTGTTTCTACAAGTATTTTTGAGTATTTACGTTTTATGCTGTTGTTTTACTCAGAGCGTATAGCTCATCTGTTTAAGTTAAAAAAAATTGAACCACTTCTAAAACGTTTTCAAGGGTAGGACTTGATGAAGAGTATTCATTCCAAATAATTAACAATCATGCTAACTACACGATATTTTTGTGTTTCTAGGAAATGTTTAAGTCCTTTTTGAATGTTTATGTCATATTAGTGTCTACTGATTCCATTGAGCACTATTTCATGAAGGGTTGTGTCTGTCACTTTGTTTTACGTGACATGTTATGGATGTTATTTAGTATTACTTATTAGGCAATTCTAAAATTATAGTCCTTTAAAAACACAAAATATCTGCGAAACATCTTTCCCATCTTCTGGCTGGTCGACTTTCACACACATATGGGAATATTGTCGTTATTTATACTGTCGAAAATGTCATAAAGTTTCATGTGTTGGTGAATGAATTAGAAATGTTTAAAGTGAAATAAAAACAAACCATTAGTTCACTGTGGACATTTTCTAATGGTCAGGACTTCTATAAAACTAAGAATGAGCCACTTACACTTGTTTGAAGGCTAACTATATGACCTTTCTTCAATCACATATCTTGCTATCATGTGGAACACAGTCGTCTGCGACTGCGCTCATCTATGCTTGTTATGTTATCCAACTCCGAGGATATTTCTGGGCATCTTGCGTTGTTTCTAATTTCAATAACTGGAGTACTTCTGCATTTCATTACATTATCAAGATTTACGAAGTGATTAATTATTTCAGTTCTTAGTTAACCTTATTATTTATTTAACAGGAATTTTACTTTCATTCCTCAGTTTTACTATTCTTAAACTAGTTAACTAAAGTGTTACTGAGTGAAATTTGTTTGTTTGAGTACGAGAATAAAATTTCGTAGACAGTTTGCCTTTCCAACTGTATTAATTTAGTGAGTTTGCATAATCTTGAAGCCTGTTAAAATAGCTTTTTATTTCATAGTTAACATCAAGAATTGATCTTGGTTGAACATTGAAGTCTGAGAAGCTCTAAACAGATGTTTCGTTTTAATATGGTATAACTCAGCAGCTCTTATCCATGACTTCATCATGGGTCAAACCTAGGACCTCCGGTTCTTGTAGTGAGCGCTTGACATTCAGACCACTGATCCGACATCCAATGGTTTACATGTTTAAATTCAATGTTTAAACTATATTGACCAACCACCTAATTTTATTGGTAGGTAACTATTGCACACTTGAAATAGTCGAACTTTGATAGTCACAACCTCCTACTAGAACCTCATGATTTATCTCTCGAAATTAGTCACTGGTGGGCACATGATTATTACTACTATATGGTGAGGTTGTGAAGTTTGTTTAATTCCATAATTGACACTGCAGATTGAATGTTAACGCTTAAAGAAAATTAATCTATACAATGTTTTGTTAACAAGGTGCATTAAATACGTTAGATACATTCTAGTTCCTTGTAGTTGCTAATTATCAATGAATTGAAATATCATGTATTGTTTTGCTTCATAAATGTTTTCAGGCTCCTACAATATAATAATGTATCGGCAAACAGTTAGTCTCCATTATGTACTTAATCATTGATCAATGATCATGAAAATGTAAAGGAAAAGTTAAACACTAAAAACGTTTTTGCTTAAATTCTCTTTTTTTATAGTTTAATAGTAAATTGTTCATGTGTCCTACATTTTCAGATATTAATCCAAGCAGCCAGAAATAAATCAATAAATGTTTATGACAAAAAAACTATGGATAAATCAGCCTGTATTCATCCATGTGTACATGCTGAAGGTTCTGCAGTAACTATTAATGGCCCACGTTTTTCAACCCGTTGCGAATCATTTATTCATAAAGCAATGGGATTGGACATAGTTAACATGACATTAGTTCCTGAAGTTTCATTGGCTCGTGAAGCTGGTTTAAGTTATGCTTCTATAGCAATTGTTACAGATTTTGATTGTTGGAAATCAGAAGAGGAACATGTGAGAAAGTTATATTTACTGCCTACTTTTGCATAGTATTTTATAGATACACACATCAGGATGTTATACTTCCAGCATGAGGTTGTGGATTTCAATGAAATTTTGATTGTATTTGTCTTTAAATTTGAGGATTTTCATGCATTCATAAACATAGCATTTTTAGGAAGTCCTAAACTAAAGTATAATCGTTATTAATTTTTATTTAGTATACCGGGCTCCTTTAATTTATACTAGTTCATAATTGGTGGAAAAAAATCTAGGAATTTCTGTGACTTAGTAATTAAAATACTCATTTCTTTCAACCAGTAGATTTCAGATTCGAACCCAACTCTACTTACTTCTGTCTGGTCAGTTAGGTAGTATTACTATTCCTTTCACAAAATATTGTGACTCAAATCCGAGTATTTAACCATTTACTTAACACATGAAACATTACAATTCTTATTGTTGACTAATCAACCAAACACCAATGTCTCCATTAAATAAATGGATAACCAATCGGTATTGTAGTTTAATTTCTGATAGAAATTGGATGACATAACTAGCTGGTTTCTTTTTGACTGGAACCATTGTCATTCATGTTTTCTATTTGATTGATGGATAATAATTTAAGCATAGAATTAAGCCACATTTGTGGGGCTATTAACTAAATCTGTTATAACAATGCGTTTTATTTATTATATGTTACTGATCTCTTGAATAGTCAACCGATATATTGCATTGAACTAATGAAACTTTAAAAAACTAAAAACTGAATAATTACTAAACGTAGTTGGCGAACTAGGAACTGATTTCTAGTTTATTTCACTGAATAGAATAAAATTACTACTTTTAGTAAAAAAATGCTTTCTCAAGGGTAAAATTGGATACAGTCTGTTATGTAATGGATAATTAAGCAAAACTAGGAAAGAAAATTATCCGTCAATCAAACAATTCACATTCACTGATGGATGACCTTAATTTCCGACGATCGTAAAATCTCTATAACCATCTAAAGGTTAGTTTTATTGAATATGAGACAAATCATTTCTCGATTTACATGTATATTATTAACTGTCCACACAACGCTCAATTTATTTGAAACTATCAAGTACAACCTTAACATTGATACCAAGAAGCTCATTTCTATTGTATTATTCCATTTTTACCAGGTCTGTGTTGATATGGTTTTGGAACAGTTTCGTAAAAGTGTTGTTCATGTTAGAGAAATTCTATTAGAAGCTGTGGCATTGATTGGCGCCGAAGACTGGACAAAAACTATTGAAGCAAATAAGGTAATTTGATTTTTTTTCTCACAGACTTATCTTTTTTGTGTCACTTGACTAGATATTAGTGACGCTTCATTTTATACCACAGTGTTAAACAATTTGTCTAGTTTTGTTTGTCTAAAAAAATTTGAACAGTATGTTTTGAACTATTCAATATTGCCATATAAGATTACAGTCAGCATCATCCGCCAGACACGAACTCAATACACACTGACAGACTTTGAACACTGAGTCCGTACTAAATTTAGCTGTCTACACAAAGGTTATAAATAACCGTAAAATGTATTTGCATCAATAAAAACTATGTCATGGAATCGATATGCCTTGAGTGTGAAGATACTACTAATGAAAACCATTATTAATGTTTGATATTCAACCATTGTCAACACACTGTTATATAAATTCGAAAGTGTAAGATACAGTTTGAGCACAGGTCGGATAAGGTGTTATCTATTTTAATTGTTGTTATTTTCTCATTTAAACTTGTATTAGTTATCTGTTATCGGTGGCCGATAAACAGATGTTATGTTTTACGTATGTGATACTGTCATGAAATCACACTTATTTGAAGTAGAAGTTATTTGTAGTTATTCCACCACGGAATCGTTCGGGAACTAATGATTTTTTGCAGAAGTCTTGTCATCAAGGTTTAGAGAGTAGTCTCCTTAGAATAATCTCTACCAATTCTACAAACAAAACATTTCGTCATTATATCAAGATTGGCTTATCTAGTTCATTGCCCAAGTACATGTTCATGTACCTCGTTTTGAACCACACTGTTTATGAAGTCTAGTAATATCAATTATTTTAAAGTTTGAGTGTGCTTCATTGGATTATTAGTTAAGGAGATCATCTTCCAACCATTGGACCTCAAATCTTGACGTTACTGCTTCTAGTTTAGTTTGACCAACTGGATTGTATCGCTAGGCCTGATGTAAATGATGTGGCTCATAGTAGTGATATTACTAATTGCATCAATAAATTTCTAAAACAATTGAAAATTGAATTGACTTAGTATGATTTAAAGAATGAGTTTCAACTTACTAAGTTGAATTTAATGCACTGATTCTAGTCATTGCTTGATAAATCGGAGAGGGGTTCAATCAATAATGAGTCAGTATTGTTGGTTCAATGAAGTGTGTTATTCTCACTTAACACAAAAATAGGTATATGTTACATTCATTTAAGTTATAAAGAATTTGGAAGAGAATTTTCTTTCTTCTATATCAAAAAACAATAGCACCAACTGGTACCTGATAAATAAGAAAGTATCTGCAGTATTTCAATAACTTCTAGGGATTATTATACAATCCAATTTTCAGTTAAAATATGTTACGTTCCGTGCTCCATTATTTTAAGCAGCTTAACACACTTAAAATGGAATAATCGAAAAGATCACATGTATGTATTAGGTGCTCTAAGGAACTCTATGACACTGAAATAATTTCCAGCATTCATAAGCACTTTTCACTTCATGAATCGTATAATTTGTTTTCTAACTGAGTCTTTTTTATTGAGAAGCTTTACATTTTAATTTTTCTCGTTTTGCAGGCGCTAGTGATGAGCTCACGTCAAGACTTACTTCATCAAGGAAGTAATGACAAATAAACATGAAGTGAATTGGAATTTATTGAAGTTTAATTGACTATTTTACAAATAAAGAATTCGAAGAATGTTCTTATTTAACTGACATTAATTATAAAATTGAATACTTTTCATGACAAGTATTTTATATTTTTAATTTGTTGTTGTGTTAACTTCCGCTAAAATTTGTATATGAAAATAAAGCTTAAAACAATAAAGTGAGCAAGCATTTTCATTTTTTTCCAAAAAATTCGGGTGAGTGTAAACAGTTAAAAGTGGATCCAGTCAGTCAGTCAGTTACAATGTAGAACTTCGTACGTACGTACATCAGAAGTGGATCCATTCAGGCACACAGTCATGAGTAACGTAGAATCTGTCACATTCGTTTTTAATCAGTTCAAACTGTTTCCATACGCTATGTTCATCAAAACAGTGATATATACGTTGTGTAGTACTTAAAAGAAATCTGTAACAAAGGGAAAAAGTTGAGTAATTGAAAAATATGGCACTAGTTGTAATGGAAAACTGTACATATGGTGTTTATAACTTAAAGAAAGATGATGATAAGGTAATGTACCCGCTTTATTGAGATTGATTTTAATCCCTACCATCTGAAGTTTCCAAACACTAATTAAGAATAATTTGTAGGCTTAAATTAAGAAAGATGCACCTTCCTACACTGATCTGTAATTACCAACTCTATAGGCTGGTGGCTTACCCCGTTGTGATTATCTTTATCTAATATACTTGTACTTCAGTCCGTGTAATGCTTTAAAGTACATGGCAACTGAGAATACGTTACACGTGTCTTAGCATTTTCATTTTATTTGGGTTCGTACCTTCATCAACAGATTTGCCGCTGTTATCTAGCACCCCATGTCTGAGGTCACAGTTAATCAGTTCATAATTCACCCATACTCGAAGAATATTCCAACATATGCTCTCGAATTATTGTGCCTCCTCCACGTCCTTTTTTTACTAATGGCATGAAAACTTACGTCTACAATTACAGACAGTAATTTTCGTATAAATAACAGAGGAGTGAAATTTGTTTTGAGTTAACTATCCTCATTATACGAAATCTACCATTTCGAACTTCAGTAGAAATCAACGAATTGATTGTATGTGCTAGATCCGATCAACTTTCTTCATGGAGAGTCTTAAACTCTGATATTTACTAAACTACAAGTTCAACAAATAACAATTATATTTTTAACTTTGTTAGATTTATTCGAATAATCACATCGGTATTTTTAATTTTTATGATTAGTTCTTTTCATGAATCTCTTCATAGCATTAAATCTGGTTGCTCTATAGACAGTTTGATACACACAGAGTTAACAGTTATGTAGTCCAAGAACATTTGTTTGGTACTTTGAGGAATCTATGGAAACATCTCAGTATTCACTTTCTCAGTCTGACAGGTGTCTACATTATCATTCAGATAAATACGAAATCGAGTTGGTAATGGATTCTGGAGGTTATTCATAACTGATACCATCTGATGTCGGGGACTAAAATTTGAAGAAAAACACAACTGACAGCTCAAAATAACTGAAATCAAGTTATTCTCCTGTTTCTCCAGGCGAATCTCACTAAGATAATCTATGAACAACTTCCTAGACTTATTATGCTGAAGAATTATTTAATTTTCGGAGCACTTAAGATCGTATTTCAGTAGTAATAATAAAATAACGTAGTATTTTGAAATCAACTTTTAATTATAGTCTTCGATTAGAGAGGTCTCTGGTTTGGATTTAGGTTCAGTTATGTATCTCTTTATAAAATTATTATAGCATTCATTTTATCGTAGCGTCACACTTAGTATGCCTAATTCTTCTATACTATTATAATAGTATAGTCGTTGAATTTCGTCACTCAGAGATTTAAATAGATTAATTTCATGTTGTGGGGTGTGAAACACTGGTCACTGCTTCTCACTAGAACTCCTGGAGTTCAAACCACGTCTGTTGTGAGATAGGAACTCACTGAAGACAATTGGTGAACGGTTGCTCAAACTTCGTGGATTGGCTGGAGTTAGACATTAACACCGTCCGACGCCCAGTGGTCTAGTGGTTAAGCGCTCTGGCGCGAGAATGGTATGTCCTGGGTTCGAATCTCGCGAGGCGAAGTCGTGGATGCGCACTGCTGAGGAGTCCCATAATAGGACAAAACGGTCGTCCGGTGCTTCCAGGTTTTCCCTGTGGTCTAGCTTCAATTAACTCACGCTTTAAACTGAAAATACTAAATCTCCACAAAAAACCCTTCTGATTTAAAGAAGAGTCCAATAAATCCTAAAAAATTATATACATCTGATAGCACAACTGAAATTTTGTTCGATTTCTATTTGTGTTTATTTGATATATTGTGTATCTAATCAGATATAGACTGATTACTTGGTGAAATCTAACCAAATGCCAAGTAAGAGCACCTCAACTATTCGTAATTCAAACTGACATGCTACCTACTAGAAAGCTACTAGTATCTCTAGAGAAAGCCATGATACTATCAATCCTAGTACCTAAAGTTTACAAGAAAAAACACTACCGAAAAGCTGTTTATCCATCTTACAATGTTCAATATGCGTGTAGTATCAAGCATTTTAGGGTATCTTCCCGTTCATTTAGTTAGTGAACACTGTATCTTATGACACAATTTCCACTGATGATTTCATTTCAATTTATTATCCATTCCCATCCAGCAAGTTGTAATACACTACAGTAGAGTATTTGAAGAATGTATATATGTGGATAGCTTCAGATGATTAAAATAAAATACTCAGTGAGAATTATGCTCTTATACGTAGCGTTCATCCATTAAATTAACGGCAAAGTGCTCGAAAATTCCATTTCACTCTCGTTGAACAATAAATAAAAAGCACATAACCCCATACGTCTTCTTTAGTAATGTTTTTTTTAAATTATTGCGCTTTCGGTTGAAAATTTGTTCTATACAACTACTTCTATTGAAAATCGAATTAATTTCCTCAGATTATGTTAATTTATGTTGCAATATTCCAAGGCGTTAACAATTTTTAACATTGTGATAAAGAAGTCTTTCAAGTTAACACCAACTGATAAACTTCCGAATGCTTATTTTAACATACATTCACTGTTATAGTTGTTAGTGAAGATCTGGCTACCTTTTGGAGTTATTTTCATGTAAATGTATGTTCAGCTGCTTTGATTGAGAAAGATACTCAGTAACAAATACATTACAGATATCTATTTTATGCCAAATGATGATGAGTAAGTTTTATCATACTAAAAATCACGTGCTGCCCTGAGGTTTTGTTACGACGTTTCTCACTTGTAATCTCTGATGATTTTAACTTAGATCATCTATTGACTTCTGAATTGTTGATCAGATAACATTAAAACTATAGAAAATGAAAAGTATGTTCTTAATTTTTTGCTTGAATCAATCAGGCTGTTCAAATCAAAGGTCCAGTGGTTAGACAAGCAGAAAATATTTAATTTCAGGAGAATAATATTATCATAGTTGAAATCATGAGTCAATTGAAGCTAGACCACCATGGAAAATCTGGAAGCACTGGACGGCCGTTTCGTCCCATTATGGGACTTCTCAGCAGTGCGAATCCATGAACCCGCACCCGCCAGATTCGAACCCAGAACCTACTAGCTTCGGGATCGTGGATGCGCACTGCTGAGGAGTCCCATAATGGGACGAAACGGCCGTCCAGTGCTTCCAGGTTTTCTATGATGATCTAGCTTCAATTGACTCATGATTTCAACTATGAAAATATTGAAATATCCACAAAAAACCCCTTCTGGGAATAATATTAATTTGTAAAAACCATATCAAGAGACATGTTATTTTATGCATCCTAGTTACTAGAGTTTTCCGTCAACTGCTTTATTTCCAGAAGGAAAGTTGGAAAACCTAAAACAGGCTGTCAAATATCTTTTTATATGGAACGACATGTTTTGCGAACACATTTAGTGTTTTATCTGGTTTTCAGTGGAAAATATTTGAACTTTAAGTACTATGTTTTATCTTAGTTCATTATTGTCAACTAATTTGGATCTATTTGATCCTAGATATCAGTCGTCGTGATATTCGTGTATCGCTCATAGTGCCCATATTTGTTGTGGTGAATGCTCTGTTAACAAAAGTTTGATACTTTTCATCTATAATTTTGTTTATTGATATATGTTTTTATAAATGAAACATTTTTTGAACATGATTTTGGATTGTCGGCCACTAGTTGGAAGACATGCTTGATTCAGTAAGATGAGAATTATAATGATTCCGTGTTTAACATCTGTTTCAGTAAATTCTTTAATTTTAAGGAACCTATTTGGATAGAATTGCATCAATGAGCACTTGTAAATTTTGACATAACCGAGACAGATGTTTACCAAATCCTAACAGCCCTACTAAAATTTCCGGTAGCTTCTTTCAACCAAAACCATCTATTTGACAAGTAATAAGCTCGATAACATGTTAGTAATGGTAAAATTTTAGGTCAAATTACTAATTTTTGACTTAAGTACTAAACACTACCACAGTTATTCTAATTCCATTATCAGTAATAAAAAACGTGACTGTATCAACCACTATGACCAATGTTATCCCAACAATCTGATAAAATTGGATTGAATCTGGACAATGTTAAATAGTAAACAATTGGTTGAAGCTTGAGAAGAATTACTTCTGAATAATTGAACATAATAAACCTCTGGTTTTCGGCTAAATAATAAAACATCTACATTTTAAATGTTAAAAACAACAATAGACTCTTCTTTTCAGTAAATTAAACTATAAGGCTTTCAATACATCATAACAGCATCTTGTCAAACAAGTAGCGTTATTTGACTTTAACGACTGTTCATCTAAGATAAGGAAAAGAAGTATATTTTTCTATTGCTGAATGAAATGAGATTATCTTGTTTTAAAAAAACTGGGGAAAATATGATATTCAATTAGTATTCAATCAGAATAGCTAGGTATTTAATAGGCAAGATGGTGCTGAGTGTTCACAGTATATAACAAAACCACATTATATATTCACTCGGTATTGCTTGTTTGAATGTTCCCATTGATTTTTGGGACTGCAATTGATCAGTCTTTTATTGGCATATATGCATACTGTCATAGTAACCACATACAATTGAGTTTGTCTAGATCTAATTTGGTTAAGCCCTTTTGTTAATTTATTTAACGGACAGTTATTCGTACAATATAACCTATCTAT